GACGATCAAAATGTGTCTCTTCCTACATGTCCCCTGTACCGGGGAAACACCAGTATTCAGATCTAAGTCTCTAAGTACGTTCTCCATGAAGATGAACCAGGGCTCCCCAGGAAGAGGTTCACTGCAGGGCTGGAGCTGAAAAAGCACAATGGGACCTGGGCAGCTGCCAGAAAGCAGAGAACGGCTCAGTGAATGAGGCACACGGGGCAGTTCTGTCAAAGGGTGGGAGTCTGCCGGGACAGGCTGCCGGGCACACTTGGAACACTTTAATTATTAAAAAGAACAGTCACGGGGGTGAATCATAGAACCGAAGGAAAAAAAGGAATCTGAGTCAGAATCTGAGTCTATAGTGTGATGGTCAAAGAAAGGAAAAGAGTTGGGTAAAAGGACAATAATAAAATATGGATGGAATGATAAAGTTGGAAAGTGGAAATAAAATATTCACATAGTCTGAGCATAACTGTGCAGGTAGTGTAATCATTACAGAAGGGGAAAGGAACTTGTAAAGTTCCAGCAGTCACCACCCAGCCGGGCACCCCACCCACTGGGGCTTCTGGACACAGCAGGCAAACTCAATATAGGAACTCGGATTGCGTGGGGGGGGTTCGGGAGGGGCTTGGTAGGAGTGGGCAGCAGTAAGCTCTTGTTATAAACTAGTAGAGAAGTCTAAGTATGGCCGGAATATTTGATTGCATTATTAAGTTATTGGCATCTCACTTAGGTGTGATAAGTGGGAGGAGTGATAGAGGATATGTTTAGTCTTAGGTCGTCTGCTAAAATGATTGGCGTGAAAGCTAGTTTCCAGCATGTGTATATATACATGCAGGTAAATAGTAGGAAAATGTTAATTGAGTAAAAAAGTTTTCTTCCAGACTTGTGTGCTCTACTCTTATTTAAATGCACTTTGGACGTACATTCCTGACCCCAGGTTCAGTGTTGAGCTGTAGCTTTTCAGAGCCATGCCCATTTGGTGTTTCTAGGAGACGGTTTTCAGCGGGTGCTGCAGTTTAGGCTCAAGTAAATGTGTTTTTAGCAGTGGATGGTTTTGCACCCACTAGATTACTTTCTTGTAAAAGGCAAGGGAACCAGGCACAGAATACACTCTTCTTCCATGTTGATTAAGTATTTGTTTTATTTGTTTACATCAAAAGATAAGAGCAAATACATTTTGCACCTTCATGGTGTTGCTTTAGGCTTTTAAGCCCTTTCAGTATCTTTCCCCAATGGCACCAGAAGAAGGCTGTAAACCCCCAGGACCTGGAGTTACCTTGAAGATCCACGCACATTTTATTCTTTACTTAAAAAACCAAAAGCCTTTTCCACATTTGCAGTTGAAATCAACACGACAATTATTTCTAGTGTAATAAGGTTCCTTTGAAAGAATTTTTTTTTAAAGATTTATTTATGCTTACAGAACTGGGGTACAGGTCAGAGGTCCAGGGGCGGCGAGAGGATTCACCAGGGAAAGAGTGGGGAGCAGAACAGGCAGATTGACGAAGAACATCGCTGAGGGGAGCAGCAGGCAGGTCAGGAGAGGTCTGTTGCACCATGTGGGTCACCTCCAGGGCGGGGATCAAACTCATGCTGAAGTGGCTTTTGATTCTTAGTGCTGTGCTTTAACCTGCTGTGCCACCAGGGAGGGCCTGAAATAATATTTTTAAATAGCACCTTCAATTAAGTCATTGAAATTTGGTGCTGGGATTGCAGTGCTGGATGAAATGGGCCCAGTTCCTGCCGCTAGGGCCATCTTGGCCCCTTGGAGAGGCGGACAGGCCAGCATGCAGGTAGCTCGTCAGCATAGCCGGCGACACTGTTGTGCAGGGGCAGCTGAGGCCAGGTGCAGGTGGACACCCACCTTGGCTGCCGGGTCACCCGAGCCGATGCTGCAGGATGAGGGGGTCCGCAGAGCATGCTATGGGGGAGCAGGTTGGAATGACACCTGAGAAGGTTTTGCAGTGAAGGTTGCATTTCCCATTCGCTCTATGTGGTCCTTTAAGAGCAGGGACCCTCCATGCTTTCCCTTGTCCCTATGGGGAGGAGGCAGAACATTTGCCCCTGGGACCTGCAACTTTTACCGCCCCCAGCTGCAGTGAAGGTTTTCAATTCTCCAGGCTTGCTGGGCCCACTGTGGGGTTTCACCCAGCAGCTGCTCTTCACTGCCTCACTGCTCCTAACCTGTGAGGCGTGATGCCTGCTTCTTTCTTTACCCCAGTGAGCACTCCTAAGATGCCCGCAGCATCGCACCGTCCATGTACCGGCCTTCCCATGTGGCCATGGCCAGTATCGCTTTCTCAGGGACTTCTCAAGGGCCCGAGCGATTTTATTCCATCACTGTAATGCTTATAGTGGGATCTGTTTCAAGCAGACACCCAAGAGATGTTCAGGAAGTGACCAGAATGGTCCCTTCATCTGGCCTGGGATGGGCAGTCTTGTGGCACCTGGCGCTCGCCTTACCTCACTCTGCGTTGTTCAAAATGTAGATTTGGGGACTCCGACTAAGTTTGATGAACCAGGAATGGGTGAGATGTGGAAATCCCCATTTTTAACCAGCACCCCCATGGATTTGTGGGAACATGGGTGTGAGTGACTTGCAGGCAGTCATGACCAGACTGTTCTGGGTTGTCGGAGAACACTCTGTAAATCCTAACAAGATCCTGGAGTATTTCCTGGAAGGGGTAGCATTTGTTTTGTGCCTCGAAAGATGAGTAACAATTGAGCATCGGCGGAGATAAACAAAGGCTCAGAGGCAAGAAACTGACCACTGCAGCGGAATGGAGGCTGGGCACTGGGTCAGGAAGGCTCGGTACCCAGGAGGAAGCCGGCATCTCCACGGCAGGATGTTGAGCAAGTAATGGCCTGTCTGGGGCTGGTTGGGGTCTTCTGCCATCCTGGGCATAGAGCCAGACGTGGGCTGTGTCATAAGGCTAGTGACTCTGCTAACTTCAACAACTTCCATCTGCAGAAACCTTCACTTCCATATTTATAATGTGCCTTTCCCTGTTGACAGCTTTTTTGCTGACTCGGCTTCATGCTGAGGAAGTGCCTGGAAAAGCAGCTCTGTCAGGCGAGGCGTCGCGTGCTTCGGCAGCTCAGGCTTTTTTGCTGATTGTGATGACCACTCCGCTTCATGCGGTCCCATGCACTTCTCGCAGCTTTTCAAGGCTGTTGGAGCAAGTCACTGGTGGAGGCCGCAGCTGCACAGCGGCTGCTTGTCGCCCCGGAGTGGCTGAAGGTGGCTGAACAGTGGACACAAAGCTGCCAAGCTGCCACATGCAGCTTCCCCAGGCCCCTTGGGAGACTTGGAGGCAGCACTGTAGGGGTTTTCTGTCCTCATGCATGTTCAGAGGACACTGGCTGCTTGGAAGTGAGTGAGCTGCTTTGCAGCTGTCCTCTTGGGGCATCTGGTTGTGGTTTAACCCTAAGATGCTTGTCCCAGACGTGCCCAGGCCATAGTCAGGCTGAGACTGAGGTTGAGGGTCCATCGTATCATCAGGAATCCAGAGCCACATCCAGTGAGTCACCGGTGCAGCACTGACCACTGTGCTGAGAGCACCACCTGGAGATGCCACTCACACAGCATTGTCCTAAGTGCATTGCTTCATATCTGAAGTAATGAAACAGATGCCCTTTGGTGCTTGTAAGGTGGCATCCGTTCCTGGTAAGAAGCGGCCTTTTCTGGTCTTTCAGTGCATTTCTGAAAAATTGTGCTTGAAGACTCCGTTGGTGGCTTGGTGTTTCCCTTTGGGTAAACATTCCCACTTTCACTTCCATTGTGATTGGCACAGTGCCCTCGGCCCCTCTGACAGGTGGTGATAATGAGTGGCACAGGCTCCGGGAATGCTCTGGGCCAGGCATCTGTGACTGAGCCAGCATCCTGCCCACACTCACTTGAGTTCACTTAATGATTAAAAATGGCCAGGAGAACAAAAGGAACTTGACCCTCCTCCGGCTTGGAGGGGTGTGTGCTGGCTCTGGGTATGGACAGCAGTTGCCTGTCTTTCTGTCACGCTGTTTCTCAGGCCAGTTCCTGTCTCACCTGGGGCAGGTCTTAGCATAGCCACACAGCTCAGGGGAGGAGGCCCAGTTCCCACTGATAGAAGGCTGGTTGGGATTTTTAAGAAGGATCTGGATAGCTGGGACTTCCCAGCCCTGAAAACAGGAGTCTCTTTATATTTTACCCCCCACAGTAATGTTGGGACAGTGATTGAATTCTCACATTAGCTACAAAGCTACCTCCATACAGTGATAACCGAAAAGCTGTAATTTTCAATGTAAAAATCACAGAACAATCTTTTGAATTTGACTTGTTGGAATTATTTGTGACATCAGCGTGGACGATCTAAAATGTAAGTGAATATGGAGTTGGAGGATTTCTGTTTTCAGTGTGAGGGAGCAGACAGATTTCAGGAAGCGCGCACAGTCTGGGTTCGTTAAGAACAGGAGGTGGAACACAAGTGTTTTATTAAGCAGAGTATGTCTACCGTTTTTCTAACTTACAGCTTTCCTTTTCCACAGTAGGTCTAATCACTAACATCTTAAAACCTATCCTTTGATTTAGAGCAGTTTTTTGCTATAAAGTGGAACAGCAGGGGAAGATAGTTTCCCTATGATAATTATGCCATACATTTGAAAGGGAGGGGTGGTGGGGGACAGAGCAAGAGCATGCACATTGATGTTTAACAAGGAGCTCACAGCTCGGCAGGAGAGCGATGCCCATATGCCTGGCGTCTCCCACCCAAAGGGGTAGGTGGCACGGGCTGGGGCTGGTGTTGGGGTGCTGGTGCTGACCACAAGATGCACCCTGGGTCTGTCTGGGGGGAGGTCGGACAGTCCAGCCTTCCTGGCACCAGATCTTTGTAGACCGGGGCTCTTTCTTCCAGGTGTGCCTACGTTTTCTCATGTGCTGTTTGTCTGTGGAAAAGACTGTTAAGCTGTCAAATGGTGAACTACCTCGGTAGTTCCTGATGCCGTGATCATGGTTTTGGTCTCGTTTCTTTTAGGTTACCCCTGTTTCAGGCCAGTGCTTTTGCATTTCTGGCCCCTGCTCGAGCCATCCTGTCTTTAGATAAATGGAAATGTAACACCACAGGTAATTGCAGTTATTTCCACATATGTCATTGGGGTCCTTTAACGCAGGTGATCTAGAAGGGAGGCCTGGCTGTGCTGCCCTCTGCAGCACTGAGTCCGTTCTGGAATCAGGCAGGGAACACACAAACCAACAAACAGCCTAGAATGCTCCAATCTGTGGATTGTGTTTCTGTCTCTCTCTCTATCCACTTGTTCATCCCTAACCCCAGAGCAAGGAAAGGCCAGAAACAACCTCATTTCTCTATGCTAATGAAATTTATAAATATGGGAACGGAACAGAAGAAAATTGGTGCTATTTTTCTGCCTCTTTCTTTCAGTGGGTTTTTATAAACCACCAGTAATCACTCTCTTGCTGCGTGACCATCCCTTCTCTGAAACATCTCTGCTTTTTACGGATCTGGCTGCTTTGGTTTTCTGCAAATGACTTTCACCTCCCTCCCCTTAGTGATGGCAAAGATCCTTAAGTAACCCCATAAGGCCAGGACAAGATCAGATACGTGATTGGAGAAAATCAGTCAGACCCGCTGTCTGTACTCTCAAAAATACTGTCACCTTTTTAGGGTCTAGGAGCAAAGTTTTCCAGCCTTCATTTCCTTCCTTGCTCCTAGGAGTTACTTTGTGACCCCTGATTTCCTTAGGCACTGGGAAGGGCCCTGTGTTTTTTTCTGTTTTGAAAACCTCAGTCGGGCAGCCCTGCTGCCGGTGTTCAGTCAGCCCCTCGCCGGGCTCGGTCTTTGAGGCTGGCACTAGTGGTGTGCTCATCACTCGGCTTACGACAAGCCGGGAGCTCAGCCGATGAGTAGCTTTGGTTAAATTAGTGAGGGGGAATCTACCTCTCAGTATGGTAAGCCCTGCTATTGAATTTTAGGGATGGGGAGTTATTAAAACAGGGAGGAAATTTCTTAAGAGTAACATGCTTCTTGCCTGTGCAATACATCATTGTTACGCCAAGAAAAATGTTGTCTTTGTTTTTGTTTTCAAGATGTTTCAGTTGTGAACGGGACGACGGAGCTGCTGTACACAGAGCACATCTGGTACCCCCGGATCCGCGAGGTAATGATGTGTCTCCTCTGCCCTGGGGCAGGTGGTACCCAGGAGGATGCTGTCGCTGGCACTCAGGCCTCCATTATTGTCAGCTGCTGACATGATGTCAACTACCAGCATTTTATTTCTATTATTAAACTAAGTTTAGAGGGCGTCACTATAAAATAAGCCACACATAAGTGCTCTGTGCAGTCCGTGTTGCCTGAACCCCCCCGTACCCCGGTTCTCCTCTCTTTGCGCCTCTGGGCGGCAGGCACCCTCTGGCCTAATCAGCCACACCCCTGGCTGGCTGGAAGGAGCCACAGAACTGCATGGCATCGTGCAGTAGAACCCCTTATTGCAGCCTCAGTGTTCCCATGTCCATGGGAAGCGTAAACACTTGTCTAGGACAGACACCTGAATGAACAGGTGTGGGAGTCCCCAGGCTTTAAGAAGGGACTGACTTCATTCAGCTTTTCCAGATTCTTTCAGATGATTCACCCTTCTTCATTCAGGCTAAGCATAGATAGGGCCTTTCTGACCCATAGAAATATTCCTTTAGATTTTTTGGTCAATGACATTGTCTTCTGGAAGTCATGCAGGGGCTCACTCTGAAAGTCAAGACTCCATACTACCGCTTCCCTCTGAGGCTGGTTTGAACGCTGTGGGCCTCGAGTAGGATGCTCAGTGTCAATGATGTCTGTCTCACTTACCAGTGGAAAAAGGCCAGCTGACTTTGTGAACAAGGTCTCTTAATATTAGTCATGTCATACTTAGGTTTGCTAGGCTCTCATCACCCCCACAGGCTTCTTTTGGGGTCCCTAGAATTTTCTAGCTATGTCATGCCTGTTATAGACTGACTTGTGGTCTTGTAGGATTTTGAGCTTGGTTGCAGGTGACAGGAGTGTGTGATGTGTACACAGCTTGTTCTCATGTTTCCACTCTCTCTTCTTCCAGATCCAGGGGGCCATCATCATGTCCTCTTTGATAGAGGTGGTCATTGGCCTGCTCGGCCTTCCTGGGGCTCTGCTGAAATACATCGGGCCCCTCACCATCACGCCCACGGTGGCCCTCATCGGCCTCTCTGGTTTCCAGGCAGCGGGAGAGCGAGCAGGGAAGCACTGGGGCATTGCCATGCTGTAAGTGTTCCCACACCACTCAGGAGTGGGCAGTAAGCCTCTCCTCCTCCCCACGACCCCACCTCCTCACCCCTGAGGAGAGCCTCTTGGAATCTTAACATTTACATGATTTTATGGGGTTTCTTTTTGTTGTTGCTTGTTTTAAAGAAGAGTCTGAGAGGTTGCTTCTATAGTTTAGCCACTGTAACTGGTGCTGCTGTGAACATAGGATGCAAGTTTCCTTTGAATTAATGCTTTTGTGTCCTTTGGGTGGGTTCCTAGGAGTGGAATTGCTGGGTCATAGAGTAGATCCATTTTTAGTGATTTGAGCGTCCTCCAAACACTTCTTCGTAGTGGTTGGGCAGTTTGCACTCCCAACAGCAGTGGAAAAGGGCTCCTTTTTCTCCATCTCCCCATGCCAGGGAAGTATTGAAGGGTTTTATGGACCCAGAGGTTGGGGAGTGGCCTGATATTAAGGTCGCAAAGGCAGATTTGGCAGTGATGTGCAGAGGACAGGTCAGAAGCTTCTGAGCTTTGGGAAGGTGACAAGGTGGTGGTGCCACTAGCTCCTGCTTTTACAAGTGTGTCACGTGGCAGCTGCCTGTGCTGAGACAGAAGAGCCACACCCTTCCAGCAAGGCTCCCAACACTCCCAGACTGGCAGGGGTCAGACGTGCTGCAGAGAGGGTCGCTCGGTGTTGAAGGGCAGAGTTGAGTTCGGCCTTCCCACGGGGAGGCTCCTTCCAGAGTCTGCTCAGTGCCAGAACCGAAAATCCATTAAAGATGTCACCCCTTTAATTACTGTCGATGAAGATAGCTAACAATTGGCTAAAATTTCTTATTATTTAAGTTTTATTTATTTATGCATATAAAAAATCGGGTGCAGGCCAGATGTATGAGGGCTGAGAGGATTCACCAAGTGGGGAGCAGACAGGCAGATGTGCTAAAATACACTGCAGAGGGGAGCAGTGGGCAGGTCAGGAGAGGTCTGCTGCGCCATGTGGGTCAGCTCCCTGGCCAGGGATTGAACTCGTGCTGCAGTGGCTACAGAGAGCTTCGTTGTGCTGTGCTTTACCTGCATCACCAGGGAGGCCCCACTTTGATAAAATTCTATATAAACAGCACCCCCCATTCTCTTCGTATCTGTAGAGCATATGTTATAAGAGTTGATCATATCTACAGGGAAATGTTCCCCAGATTCTGGAATTGTACTGATTCTGGAATCTTAACATTTGTAACACAAGAAGATTTCCAGTTGTTTTTCTTTGTGAGCTATACTGTAATTACTCATGAGCGAACTTGTGTGTCAGTACTTTATAGTGATTATATATATATATACAGTGCCATATGTGTAGATGCAAATATTTATGTACTTATAAAGTTAGGTACCAATGTGATCCTCGTTTCACAGCCAAAGAAAGCAAGGGTCACATGACTGATAAGTAGCCAGGATGGTCTTCAAAATCCATAGTCACTAGATCATACGTCATAACAGTCCTGCCTCTCTGAGATGGAACGTAGTATGTATACATTAATCCTTGCATAATTTAATCCATATAGCACCACAAATGGAGATGTGGAAATGTCGGGATCATTTTAAATTTTCTCTTTCCCTGGAGGTTCGTCAGTATTTTCTCTACATCACAGTGCTTGTGTACGTAGCATATAAGGACATTCACTCTGGAGCAGTGCAGTAAAGTCCAAGGAGGAGACATTATATTTATCGCCAGACAGTAAAATTAGAAACCAGTAACAAAAGGTTGAACAAAACCCCAAAACTGCTTATAAACTAAAAAAAAGCACTGTTATAAATAGCTTGTAGTCAGAGAGGAAACTGAAACTTCAAAATTGCTGATGATTTACAAAATGATGATGATACCAGCACTAATCACAGTCTCGAGTTGGTCTCGAGCTTTATAACTTGAAAGTCAAAATAACACACGGACTCAGAGCTGATCTTCAGAAACTAGAAAAACAGGATTGAAAAAAAAAACACCCAATGAAAGTAGGAATTTTAATAAAAACACAAAGAGCAGGGAATGGCAGAAGTTTTCATTCTGAAGCTGGTCCTATGGAAAAGAGTACATTGACAGACTTCTTAATTAAGATGAGAAAGGAATATGTGGACATACAAAGAGAAAGCCACAGATTGGGGGGCTGTCAAGTCCAAAACTAGGGGCTTCCTAGTCCTGAATTAAGAGAAGTTTCATAAAGCGAGTGGTTTTCCGGAGAAGCATAAATAACCGAAATTGACCCCACTCCACCCTGACCTCTCACGCTCTGGCTCCTCAGAGCTCCATCCTGGGCGGCCGGGGGCCTCACTTCTCCTGGGAGGTCTCTCATGCACAGCGTCCACCAGCACCTGTTCTGCCCAGACCTCTGACCTCCAAGCTTGTAGATCAGTGCCTCTCCATTTGCTGCTACCCAAGGAACCTCAAATGGGGCATGTTGTTGTTGTTTTTAAAGATGTATTTTATTTATGCATACAAGAACTGAAGTGTAGGTCAGAGGTGCAGGGGTGAGAGGACTCACCAGCCAGAGCGGGGAGCAGGACAGGTGGATCTACTGAATGAAATGCACTGCTGAGGGGGGCAGCAGGCGAGATAGGAAAGAGGGGAGAGGCCTGCTGCCCCATGTGGGTCAGCTCCCCTGCTGGATGGGATTGTGCTGAAGTGACTGACGATAGTTGATAGTGCTGAGACAACCCTTTATGCCACCAGAGAGGCCCCAAGGAACCTCAAACTTTAAAGGAAGAAAACTCAGGCTTTGATCTCCTTTGTCCCTCCCGCCCCCAACTCCTTCCCCTGTCATCCTCCTGTCAATCCCTGGCTTAACTACACACCAGTTACTAGAGATGAACCTGGACTCATCTTTGATGCTTTACACACCCTCCCTCCCCTCCTGCAGCCCATTTTCTGCCCTACCTCCAGGGCAGCTGTCCCCTGGCTTCACTGCTGCCTTCCTCGACACATCTCCCTCTCAGAGACACTTGTGTTTGTTTTCTTCTGCTTGTTTCCTGTCTGTTCTCATTCTCTAAGATTCTTGGCCATATCCCCACAAGTCTTCCTCTTCTGCGTCCTCCTTTTGAAGTCCAGTTAGACACTTGCTTGAATTCTGGAAAGCTGGTAGGAATTTATAGAATATTGAGCTTCCTCATCATGACACTGATGGGGCTGTTTCCAGCCTCAGACCACGGGGCTTCTCCCTTGAAAGCTCAGGCATCCTGAATTATTCATGGCTGTCTTCTCCCCTCCATTCAAATCCTCATTTTTCAGAAACTTCTAGACTCTCAGGCCTCCTGAATTCTCCCTATGCCTTCTTTTCCCATTTTCATCTTTTTTTCTCCATCCATGGGAACATGCCTCAACTTTTTAATAACTCCTCCTGCTGAACTTTTTAATAACTCCTCCTGCTGCTCATGATTGTTAGTTTCCAAGAACTCTTCTTTTGTCCTTGCTGTTTCGACTCCTGTCAGGCCACCTCAGCACCCCCTGAACTGGCTTATTCTGTCACAGGGCAGGTGTCCAGCAGTGCCCAGAGAAAGAGGGGAGCTTGCAGGCATGAGCACACCTCTAGCCAAGTTGGGGAGAGGTACAGTTACTGCCCAAAGCAGCACTGGGCCCAGTGGTGTCAGTGAGTCTCACATCTTTATGCAGTGCATAAACTGTTCTGGAACCTTCAGATGGAAGGGAAATGGCCCAGTTAATTTTACTGAGATGGCAAATCCTGACAGAGCTGACACACAAGAGACTGTCTGCACTGGCCTTGTCTAACTGGGGTTATGGAAATTCCTGAACTGCCTCTGATCCTTGGGCTCAATTAAGGAGTTCTGAAATCAGTTAAATTTGGGTAGTAACATGCTGAGGCTCATCATCCTTCTCTACTGTAAGGAACCTTGTGATTCTTTAAAATGCAAGTGAAAAAGACTTCAGAAACCTTACTATAGTAGACATCTCTGCACATCTTCGTGTGTGTGTGTGTGTGTGTGTGTGTGTGTGTGTGTGTGTGTGTGTGATTATTGGGAGAATGTTCCTTGGAATATGGTTCAGGAAAGTGCTGCTACAGATGATAAAACAACAATGTATAGTGTTTATTGGGAGCCCCTAGAGAAGTAAAATGTATTAATGAAATCGGTTCATGATAGATTTTATTAATAACCATGACGACCAAAAAACAAACCAAAAACTCAACCAGTACTCCTGCTATAAACTTGGCAATTTTGGATAGAAGAATCTTTCATGAATAAGATTTGAAAATACCTCAAACTTCAATGGTGAAAAACTTAATTAAGACCTGTCTAGTAAAATTAGAAATGAATATAACTATGCTCGCTATCATCAGTAATATCTGGATGTTGCCAACAGTTGTGTTGACAACATAAAATAATATGAGTCAGTAATGGAAATGTCAGGAGATGGGAATAGTGATTTGCCCTTATAAGAACTGATAGATTCCAAAGCTTAATAATTGTGCAGTATCTCCCCCCCACCCACCTAGTCATGGGTTCACTTTCTATGAGAAGATTCGATTACCCGCAGTCCATCATTGTCAAAAAATATTTTGTACAATAAGATATATTGAGACATTCCACTGAAACTTTTATTATAGTATATTGTTGTAGTTGCTCTATTTTGTAGTTATTGTTAATCTCTTAGTGTGCTTAATTTATAAATTATGCTTTACAGGTATGAACATGAAAAACAGTACAGATAGAGTCTAGTATTACAAGCAGTTTCAGGCTTCCACTGGGGACCTTGAAAGGTGTCCCCTCAAAATAGGGGGAGGCTGCTCTGTTGTGGACCTGGAGCAAGAACAGACATTGGTAGAGCAGAACAGGAGGAACAGAAAAAAAACCAAGAAGAAAAAGAATATATTGTATATGGTGACAGTCGTATTTGAAACAACTGGGGAATTGTATAGCATATATGAGATAATTATTTGGGAAAAAGTTAGATTTATACCAAATTATAACTCAAAGTGCTACAAGAAAACCTGCATAAACACTAATCATAAGACAAAAAAAAAATCCTAAAGTAAATACTGAAGAGAAAGTAGATTGATAGCTTTTACTACTGATACATTTAAAATTCTTTTAAAAAACACTGAAATTACATTATAAATGAATCAGTGAAACAAAAATATCCTAATTCAGAGTTTTTCTAGTTCAAGGAGAGAGAGTTCTGGGGGAGTATAATAAATGAAGGTTAGGATATGAGCAGTCACTTATCCAAAATGAGGAAGAAACAAATATTCATTTGTTAAAAGGTTTATCCCTCCTGGCTACCGAAATGCACATTCACAAAGAGTGGCTGTTACAAAGCCTGTTAGGGTCAGAAGTTCCTAAATCCGGCCCACAGAGGTGGCATTAGTCACATTCTTAGGGGAAGGAAAATGTGACACAGCAGTAAGCACATGACTGGTTTTTTTCCCCTAGAGAATATTTTTGGTTTACTTTTCTTAAGACTGTTTACAAACCCGTTAAGTAGTGTAGTATGCCCCCACCAGCCATTCTCAAAACAATTAAGAGAAGTCTCATTTTATTTATATCCCAACTACTTTTCAATTTTAGTCATCTGAATTTAATAGTAATTCAACAGGAGTCTAAAGGAGTCCTTCCCACCCACCCACCTAGTCCTGAAAAACCCTGTTCGTGATTATTTACTGAAAATTTCGTATTCTCCATTTTTTTTCTGTTATTATGCATAAATATAAGCATGCATGTGCTCAGTTGTGTGTGTGTGATGTTGCATGTGTGTTTCAGCCCAATAATTTTTGGGGCTCCCCGTTCAGGATAATGTGTTTAAATCTCTTTCACTCTTCGTGAAATGGCACGATGTTAAATGTATGAAAGAATCGTAGAATTTGTAAAGCCATTCCCCGCAAGGCTTATGCATGTTGTTTAAAATGCTTGCTGTTATAAACCACTAGCATAGTGTTCGTATAAGCCTTGTATTAGCATAGCCTTGAATAAGGTATGAATATTCAATGCTGATGGGGTTTCTGAAATTGAGGCAATCATTAGGGATTTAAAAGTGTGATAAGCTCCTGTATTGCAATGAATAACAAAAATAAGACCCATCGAGGTTATAAGCTCACGCAGCTTTCCTGTTGTATGTATTTGGCATTTTGTTATCCGGTGCTTTTTAGTAGGCATTTACTGGGTGACAGAGCCCCGGAGTCCTAGGAGCTATAGGGGCAGGACAAGGGGTTGGCAGTCATCCCAGAGGTCTGTGTTGGCCCCAGGGGCGCACAGTTTGGACCTGTTAAGCAGGACACAGTACATCCACAGTTAGGGCGCTGAGCAGCCACTGAGACGGACGTGGGTCTCTCTCTGTCAAGCTCATGGCATTAATAAGGCTGTAGCTGGTTAGGAAACGGCGTGTAAAGTGTGACTCCAGTTTGGGTCAGACGCCATGTTCCTGCCCCATGGGCACCTGGCTCTGACGAAGCCCTGGAAATAAGTAGCCATGGCATGGAAGTTGCTTGGCACTGATAGTCTGGAATGACCTGGTACCTGCCTCCTGAAGGGGTGATGGGTAATTTTCAGGATTCTGTCTCTTCCTTCTTATCCGCTGTTTAAAAGTTTTCTACATTTCAGTATACAGCACTTACATAATATCTGTAAAGAAAAACAACCAAGCAAGCAAAATGTAAATGGCGGGTAGAACCTTCCAGGTGTGGTGGGTGGAGCCCAAATCCCTGTTCCTCCCCTGCTTGGCCTGGACCGTGTGTGAGCTCAGGCATGCAGGCCCCCACCCTGAGCCTGCGTTCCTGTCTCTCTGATGGGGTAGCTGCCTGCTTTACAGGTGTATTACAGATAAGAGTAGAAGAAAAGTAGTATTTCCCTGCCCAGTTCACCCTTAAGTTCAGCTGCCAGATTTGGGGCCCAGACCTGGGTATCCTTCCTTCCTTTCTGTCTGGGGTCTGTGCCCCCTTTTAAATGTGCTTTGAAAAGTGAGCACCACAGTTGAGGTCAGGTGGGTGTCCCTGAAATAATGACAATCAGAGCACATACAGGGCCTTTTTTGTATTTTGTAACATACACTGGACATTTTTTAAAACACGAAAGTTTTATGTGGGCTGAAGTCTAAAACACACCCGTTTCAGCATCACTCGTCGCCCTGTCAGCTTTTGTTAAGCTTCACTACTCCAGGGGAATGAATCCCCTTGGGCACCAGGTAGGTGTCCAACCTTGCACCGGTACCGACTGCGGTGGGAAGCCACCCAGGCCCCAGGTCAGCGAAGCCCTGCATAGTGGGGAGACAGGGAGACAGCCCATTCTCCTGCCAGCTGGTCGTCCCCTCATTCGGGGTGGGACACTAAAGCTGACTGGCCATCAGTGCAGCTGATAATTCCATCTGAGCAGCTGGCACTGTACCTGGGAACAATTAAGCTTAGCTCTGACTGAGCACTCAAACTTCCTGCCAACTCTGCCCTCAGTTGTAAGAGAAGAGCCAGTCCTGTGATGAGACACATATATCGTCCCCCGCACCGCTGGCCACGGGGGGTGAGGCCACCCTAAGGGCACTCAGCGTCCATGCCAGCCAGGCACCCTCTGAGCATCGCTGCTGGAGAGCCAAGCCCTGCGCACCTCACTCCCATCCCAGCCACAAGATCTTGGCCTGTTGCTGTCTCCATGAAGCGGGTGTCCGAGAAGCCTCAGCAGAAGGTGGAGGAGCTGGGCGGGGGGGCCTGCACATCACACTGACTCACGGAAACCGCAGAAATCTTATTCATATTGAATTCTGTGTATACTTGCTTTGGATACTGAAGTTTTGCTTTTTAAAAATAATTTATGCTCATTCTAAGAAAGTACAGAAAAGTAGGGGAAATAGTCAACATTGTTGCGTGAAGCCAATCCCTCAGAGCATTTCGACTCATCCTTTTCACACAGCGTGTGCACACTTGTGGGTACACACTTAGGCTGCAAATGCTTGGTTTTTTTGTGAATTGGGTGGTTGTAGCTATCCTGCAGCATGTGTGTGTCTAGTATCTTTGTTTCCATCAGTATGTGTATACATGCTTTGGGTTTTCTTACTCTGCATAGGAAAATGTAACCAGAACATGGCATTGCAGTTTAGTTTCAGTGACAAGAAATAGCACAAAAAAGGAGGTCTAATATCTTTCCCAAAAGGACATTTGCAAAAGAATAGTTAAAGAGGACTAGTAGTTTCTAGATAGGTGTGTTCTAGAATTGAACACGTGGTCAGTTTTGCCATTGAAGCTTTGAGGCTTTTTTTGTTTGTTTGCTTAAGATTTATTTATTTATTTATTTATTTATGAAACTGGGTTACAGGCCAGAGATGTGGTGGGTGAGAGGATTCACCAGAGACAGAGTGGGGAGCAGAACCAGCAGATGTACTGAAATACACTGCTGAGGGGAGCAGCAGGCAGGTCAGGAGAGGTCTGCTGTGCCCTGTGGGTCACCTCCCTGGCTGGGGATCGAACTCAAGCTGCAGTGGCTTCTCAGAGCTTCGTGGTGTGGTGCTTTAACCTGGTGCGCCACCAGGAAGGGCCCCTGAGTGTTATTTTAAACAGAGACTTAACACCCCTCTAATCTTTCTTTTCTTTAGGACAATTTTTCTGGTATTACTGTTTTCTCAGTATGCCAGAAATGTTAAATTTCCTCTCCCAATCTACAAATCCAAGAAAGGATGGACTGCATACAAGTTACAGCTTTTCAAAATGTTCCCTGTGAGTAGATACATATTATTCTCATCCTGACAATTTTGCCTTTGGTTCATGTGTAAAATGTTTATGTGAAACATGGATGCAGCTGGACAGGATCATGCTTAGTGAAATAAGCCAGAAAGAAAAAGAAAAATACCGGATGGTTTTCCTCATAACAGGAGCATAAAGAAGGGGGGGGATAATAATGATGAGTAACTATATACCAGAGACAGGGGTAGAGTGGGGAAGGGGATCAAAAAAAAAGGTGTGTGTGGGGGGGAAGTGCATGGACTATGGTGATGCCACACGGGTGACTTGGTGATGGGAAGCCCATGGGGATTACAACTGAGATGGAAAAAGGCACAAAGTGATGTAAAAATAAACTATTACCTAAAAAAAAAAATGTTTATGTGAACAAAGGTTTGAAACAGATTCTCCCTGGGGGAACCTTGTTTGTGTAGTGGCGTGGGGTTACTAGTAACCACCTGGGTCTTCATGGACTTAAAGTTCAGAGGCCGTGGAAGGTTTCTCCTCGGAGGACGACACTGGGGAGGGTCTGGCGACTCAGCCTGTGCAGGCTCATGTCCCTTCTTACTCCATCAGCCAGACTCAAGGTCAACGCAGTACTAACTGCGCAAGACTGTTTTCCCTACCCGGGATCCCGGGGAAGGGCTAGGTTGCCGGGGGATCTGTGACACGTCTGTTTGCGTCGCCTGGTGGTGGCAGGCCCAGGGTGAGTGTCCAGACTGGGAGAGCCTGCAACTTGCCTGACGGTGTGCTCCTCTGACCGCTCAGATCATCCTGGCCATCCTGGTGTCCTGGCTGCTCTGCTTCATCTTCACCGTGACAGACGTCTTCCCTCCTGACAGCACAAAGTACGGCTTCTACGCTCGGACAGATGCCAGGAAGGGGGTGCTTCTGGTGGCCCCGTGGTTTAAGGTCCCGTACCCATGTAAGTATTTCAGAGGCCAGAAGGGGTCGGGAGCCCACAAGGCCCCAAGTTACAGGATTTAGAAGTTAGCAGAAGACTCTGCAGCATGGAAAACCTTTGTCCTTAAATGTGCCCTGACCAGCTCACTGCTCTGGTCATTAGAGGATTTGATGGCAAAATCGGGGGTGAAGGGGGTGGGGGTGAGGGGGGGCTACTCCTGTAGTCCCATATTCAGCACCTTTTCAGATGAACCAGTTAGTTCTTTAGGTCCCACTAAGATGAAGGGTTACCACAGGACAGTGGTTCTCTTGCTAGGTTTGAGGCCTGAGGGCCAGCACTGGAGGGCAGCTGCCACCTGGAGCCTAGCAGGCAGTCAGAGGGACCCAGAACACGCGGGGTGCCCAAGCATAATGAAATTTATATAATCGTTTCATGGCTAGCTATAATCTGTGTGTTTTCCTTAATTTGATCACACTATCTGGTAAATTGATACTCACACATGGTGGAAGAGGAATCTTAAATAACTTGTGTTAAGTAACTCCTGGCAAGGTGCAGGGGTGAGTGCAGGGGTGGGGGCTGGGCTATGATTCCCCACTGGATGTGTCACTTGGATTTACTTATTTTTTTTTTTTAATTAATAAGAAAGATTTATTTGTGCATACAGAACTGGGGTACAGGCCAGAGGCACAGGGGCAGTAAGAGGATTCACCAGAGAGTGGGGAGCAGAACAGGTGAATTGATTGAAATACACTGCTGAGGTGGAACAGGAGAGGTCTGCTGCACCATGTGGGTCACCTCCGTGGCTGGGGATTTGAGCTCGTCAAACTTGTGTTGCAGTGTCTGTGGATAACTTTGTACTGCTGAAACGTAACCCCTTGCACTACCAGGGAGCCCCACTTTTTCACATTTTATAATCATAAGGAGGAAAAGGCAAGAAAACTAAAATGGGCCAGAAGCATGTTAAATGATAGTGTCATTGACACGTGATCGTTCTGTTCTTGACCACATTTACAAATGCTTTAAAAGCCCAGTCTCTCTGAACTAGCATTCTCATCAGGTCCTGTGCTACAGGTATGTACTTATGTACCCATTCTTTTGCCAAAAAGAATATGCATGGCTTATGAACATAAACGTCCACCGGTAAGGCAATCTGAAGAGTCGTGGAAGGGCAGGTACACCCTGGTGCCACATGTGGGCTGCTGTGCTCTGCGGCTCCCAAGCCAAGCTTAAATCAGTGCATGGTGGGCTGCCCAGGAGAAGCAGCTGTGTATGAGCTGAGAGGCCAGAGGGGCTTCCCCAAGGGGGTCTCATGGGGTGAGGCGCATGAGGCATGGTGGGTGCACTGGGCACCAGGCACCTTAAAGCACCGCCAGGCTGCTCGTAAGGTGGCCTCCACTGCCAAAGCTGTGTCAGATAAAAAGCCGCCCCAGCAAACCCGAAGCATGAGGTCTGATGTGCTGTCTGGTGATTTAGGATAGGTTTTTGAATATCTGAGCAGTGGTTCTTAGCTTTAGTATTATAAGAATGACCTGGATCGGTGGTTATCATGGATTTCTGGTCCAAATGTCGACAGTGCTGAGGGTGCGAAGCCTGCTGTGAGCTCACAAAGGTTGTGGTTAAGAGGAGAGATAAAATAACAGATTTAACTAGAAGCTTGGGGAAAAAAAACAAGTTTTAAAATTCCAAAATACGTATGTATGTTTAACCTAAAGGAAAAAGGATCAGAAATCAAGCCTACACATTTAAAATACTGAGGTAGATGGAATAAAGGGTTTTAAAATCAAAACCAAGGATTTCAGGCAAGAGGGGTAACGAAGAAGAAAAGCAGTAGAGAGACAGGAAATGGGCAGTTTCTGAAAAATTGAGTAAAGATTCTTCCCCATAAAATGATGGCTCTGAAGTGAAACTGCAAGGGGCTACATCAGTAAAGGTAACTGTTACACCAGAGTTTCTTTAGGAAACAGGAAATGTTCTTGAGGAAGGAATCCTTCGCGTGAGAATGCCTCCACACTGACTGGGGATGCCGGCCAGGCTCCAGGCGGTGGGCCGGTCAGCCCAGGTAGAAGTGCTTCTTCCTTGGCAGGTCACCTTCCCCTCTCAGGCAAAGGCCAAGCCTCTGGGTAGCTTGTCAGCCCTCCAAAACCCGCCTGTCCCGGCCGCTCTCCCTCCTCTGGGCTCAGCCTGTCTTGACACCCTTCTGCCCACCTGCGGATGGGTAGGCACTGCCTGCCCCGATACCCTCTTCACTGTGTCTGCTGTCCAGACCCTTCCTGGGTGGGCACTGCGCCTCCTCCCGGCTTCCTCACACCCTCAGGTTTGGGTTGTCTTCATTTGAAGTCTCACCATTATACGCCCCTTTATCCTCCACGTCCTCTTCCCAGGTCAGGACAAAGTTGGTCCCCGCACAAAGACTACTTTCCTCGTTTTTTACAGTTTTTCCCCACCGTGCTTTATAACTCAGTGGCTGTATTATAGTTAATGCATTGTTCAAGGATAGTCCAGGTACTTGATCAAGGACACTTGTTTATCCTAACAGTGAAGGCTCTTCATGATGTTTTCATTTCAAAAGATCTATTGTTACAGGGCAACCCAAAGTGAATTGGGTCTCACCCGTGCATTCAGACTCAGCTACACACAAAAAAGGTCAACAATGGGTTTATTTACAAGGGGAAAAGAAAAAGGAATAACCCAGGGAAAGCGAGAGAAACAAGTTAACTAGAGCATCCTACCAGTTGCGCTGGCCTGGAATCCCAGTAGCGCAGTGAAAGCTGATGGAGAGCCAAGCGACCAGCGGTCAGCCACGAGGCCAAGGGAGAAAGCCTCAGCCCAACTTGTCCGCCTTTATATCCAAAAATCTCAAAATGGCTGCTTACCTCTGCCCTCGGGTCCTGGCAGTCCTCCCTTTGGGGCTGCTGGGAGTTGTAGTTTTGGTGTCTGGAGTCAGGGTGGCTCCACAGACCTGCATCTGTAGAGTTGTTCAGGACTTTCTTTCCCCCTAACACGATGACTTTCAATTCCCACGTAGATACACTTTGAAAGAGGGGAAAAAATCTAGTGAAACATTACTAAATCTAGACACTCAAAATGAAGCTATCTGGAGACTGACTTACAGGAAACTATTCAGTTTTCCATGATATGGTTTACTTTAAAAAATTGCAGCTATTACCCGAGACAGAAGCTGTCTCTAACGTGTGCAGTGCTTTCCTGTTGGGATTTAAATTTAGCTGTGACTTTTGGCTGCTTATTCATCTGATGCCACCCACGGGACAAGAGTACCATTATTTTGTACCATGCTAAAAATCCTCCCCCTATAAATTTCTATCCCAGCACAGCAAGCTGCCTATGTTAAACTGTAATTTAGTTGATACCAAGTGTGGCTTTGAAGCAGGAAGAGCAATGGCCTATTCCAGCCAGTTTCTTTTAAATAAAAGATGTCACACAGAACAATCCCGGTTACAGCCAGTTCAGGCGACCCTTTACCAGACATCGAGTGCAGGAGTGACTTGGGCAAAAATAACTGTTTCCAAGAGCTTCAAAATTGGAGTAGATCTCCCACCCAGAGACTTTCCTTCCCCTCTAGGAAAGCACCAGGATTTCATGCTTGTTTTCCTTCCTTAGTTCAGTGGGGACTGCCCACCGTCTCTGCGGCAGGGGTCATTGGCATGCTGAGTGCGGTGGTCGCCAGCATCATCGAGTCGATCGGGGACTACTACGCATGCGCGCGGCTGTCCTGCGCCCCGCCGCCCCCCATCCACGCGATCAACAGGTACGTCCCCGGGAAGCCGGGTCTTTCACCTGCCAGGGCTTCCGCTTTACTGTTTGGATCAGATCGTCTTGGGAAGAATCTCAGAGCCTCAGCCAAGCACAGGACTCTTGGTCCATTGTCCTTGGACAAGTCACCACCCCCCTTTTGTTCACTTTTTTTTTTTTTTTTATTTTTTTTTTTTTCAGAACTGGGGTACAAGCCAGAGGTGCAGGGGCAGTGAGAGGATTCACCAGAGACAGAGTGGGGAGCAGCACAGGCAGATCCACGAAGTACACTGCTGAGGGGAGCAGCGGGCGGGTCAGGAGAGGTCTGTGGTGCCATGTGGGTCAGCTCCCCAGTTAGAACTTGAGCTGGAAAGGCTGAGGCAAGATTCATAGTGCCCTCAGGGAGGGCCCCCTTTTGCTAACCCATTTGCTAACTTATCCCAGTCATCTAAGACATTGTCTCTGAGACCTTAAGCTCCCAACACAAATGCCTGATGCTGCCATTGTTTTTTGCTTGATTTTAGGTCACAGGTGCCTCCTCTGATGTCTTGTTTCCCCAGTCTTTCTTAGGGGTCGGCACGATACTGCCTATTTACAATCACAATTCATATAAACAGCAAGAGCAGGAATAAGCGAAATCTGCAGAGTGTAGAGGTCATAGCCATGAGGGTTATGTTCTCAACACACCTGGTCTTTAGTGTCTGGACGCTGGTGGTGAACGGGCACCCTGTGGAGGCTGCAGGGAAGGGAACGTAGCTCAGGTGGTCCTTCCGCTTTCCCACCAGCTGCCGTGCCGGGAGGTGCGTGCGTGGGGGCCAGCGGGCTGCGATCTCAGCAGCACCTGCATTGGTTCTGTTAGGGTTTGCAGGTCTGGTTTCCGTGTCTCTGCAATGCAGATACTGCACATGGTGATACTACCAGTGTTCTTTTAAGAGTTTCAGTATTTATAAAATAACAGCATTTCCTTCTTGATGAAACAATAGTAGTAAAGGGATCAGATCAGTGGATGTCTGTTTGTCTTGGATCCCAACAAATGGCTTCGATCCCAACAAGTGAGGACAATCCTTTACTTTGGAATGATTTCTAGATGCCCACGTCAACGTGCTGTGTAGAGAGGTGCTTCTCAGAGTCCAGTGGGCATCGAGGAGGTCCTGCGCAAATACAGGTTCTGTTGCTGTCTGTCTGGAGTGAGGTCCGGGAGTCTGCATTTCTGACCTTCCCCGGGAGCAGCAGGCTACAGGCCCACAGCCTCTGCCTTTGGGCGGTGACCATTTGGAGTAGATTTTGGAGTGATTCTGCACCGAATGAGCATTTCTCCTCTCTCTTTTCCATTTCAGGGGTATCTTTGTGGAGGGCGTCTCCTGCGTTCTGGATGGCATATTTGGTACTGGGAATGGCTCCACTTCATCCAGCCCCAATATTGGCGTTCTGGGAATCACTAAGGTATATAGATACTGTGTGTGTGTTGATGTGGTGACCGGAGATCCCTTTCACTAGTTTGCCTGGCCACCGTGAGGCACCTAAGGCAGGCCTGGGAGCCAAGACCATCTCCCCTGTACTTGCCCGATACTCTCGTCTCTTTTTTATCCCGTTCATGGGTGATTGGAATGCCTGTGAAGGCCTCTGCCCCTTGGCTGTCAGGTGGGCACTAAGCACTTTCATGTATAGTTTTGTATTAAGTACCAACCCTGTTCTAAGCACTTGAGATGCATCAGTGAAAAAGTGAAGACGCACATCCCCTTCCTCGTGGAGTTTCCATTCTAGCAGGGAAGACAGCAGACAGCACTGTCATTCTGACAGCAGCGTGGTGGGTGGGGGCATGGGGGGTGAGGGTGGGCGAGTGGGTGGTGGCCTCGAGCAGACTGATGGAGGTGAGGAAGGGGACTGTGCAGCTACTGGTGCGGAGAGGGAATGGGGGGTGGGAGAGGGCAGCGGCGCAAAGCCCTGTTCAGGAGCCAGGTCAGCATGCTGCAGGTCAGTAAAGAGGCCAGCGGGCAGGAGGAGCACAGCAGCAGTGAGGACTCCCTGCTCGGCCCATGGGGGCCTGAGTCGCTGGGCTCTGTAGGCTCCTGGTGAAATGAGGGGCCTCAGGCAGTGACTCCACTTGTGTGTTCATTTGGTTTTAGGGTCACTTTGGCTGCTGTGATGAGAGCACATCACAGTAGGCGGGGAGACCTGTTAGACGACAACCCTAGATCTAGATCTGATGGTTTTCACGCTAGGGCGGCGGCAGCTCCCTTTGAGGTGGAAGGGGGAAGGGTTGTTAAGGGGTGAAGTGGGTGGATGAGACAGACCCCAGCCAGCCAGCCACCCGGGTCCTACCTTCCTACCCTGCTCTAAACACAGGCTCCGCAATCTGGCCTTTGTGGCCTTCGAAATTAGTCCTTGTAACTGAGCCCTGTATCCCAGGTGCCTTCGGCCGAAGCACGCTGTGTGCTGGGTGTTGAGCCTGCTGCTCAACCCACATCCTACGCTGTGCCGCTCTCTAGCTGGTTCACTAGCTGGAGTGGCCTGCACGAGGTCACAGGCCTGCACGAGGTCACAGGCCTCCCTCACCTGAGCCCTATATCCTGAGAACTTTTGGGGTGAACATGAACCTTCTCAAACTGACCTCTATGCAATTAGAATCCCTCTCCAGTTCCCTATGAGATTATGTAACCAGATGAAGAGAAACCAAATACTGAATTTGGGTTTTTGTGGCTGCAGAGCCTGTGAAGGAGCAGGGCCTGCCCAGGGCACACCCGCTTGTTGGTGGGTTTTCCTGAGAGTCGGCTGGGCCTCTTGCTGAGCCCAACCTCACGTACTGCCCCCCATGCCCCCCTCCCCCAAACCCACAAACATACACACTGCCTGTTGATCCTGCATATGGTGTGTGGAGGCTGCTCCAGGCTGCTTCCTCCAGGATCCTTAGCGAGTCCTATTGGCAAAGGGAAGAATGTCCTAAAGGAACGCTGCAGAGTTTTGTGGACTCCACCCTCAACTCCAGCTGTCTGGACTCTACCCCCTATTCCAGTGATTGAAAATTACAACTCCCAGCAGTACCTGGGAGAGACCTGCAAGGACCCAAGGGCGGAGCTAAGCAGGCATTCTGGGACATTGGGGGATAAATAGGGCGCCATTTGGTCCAACAGTCTCTCTTGCTCGGGCAACAGCTCTCGGGACTGGGTGACTCTGGGCTTTCCATTAGTTTGTTACCAGACCTCCAAGTCAGCCAAGTCAGCTGAGCCAGTAAAATATTCCAGTAACTTTGTATCCTGCTCTCTTTCCTTGGGTGGTTTCCTTTTCTTTTCCCCTTTTGTAAATAAACCCCTCATTGACCCTTTTGTGTGTGTCTGCAGTACAACTGAATTTTAAGCGTCAATGAGGCCCCACAGACAGGCAGCCCAGTTCACACTGGGGTGCCTGGAACACTCTCACTGCCCTTGATGAGAAGTAGGTGTTTCTCACGGGGAGCTGGGGGAAGTGTAAGTCTTTTGCTCTTTGGCCAGTTGTCTGCCTTGAACCTGTAGACATACAACTGCTCCAAAATAATGGAGTGGTAAAGATGTTGGAGATAGAGGGCCTCCTGGGGGAGCAGTCAGCTCCCTCTCTGTGCCCTTGAAAAGACAGGCTCGTATCACCTAGCAGGGTCTGGTGGTGCAGCTCTTCCAGTTACCTCTGCAGTAGGACCGGGGGTTTGTGGACTAATTGTCTTTACTGCAGTTTGGATGATGCCGGCTTATTGTGTAAAGGCTCCCTGCCAGCACTTTCTGATGAGCCAATCGATTTTTCCCTCAGGACCCCTTTGGACACTCATCCCCAGGGATAGACAGCATCTGCCCAAGGGCACGGCCAGCCCCGGGGTCTGTTGTCATTGCCCAGATCCACCAGGGGGCACAGTGGACCCACCTACACAGGTGCCTTTGAGTGGGGAAGTTCGACATGCGCTTTTTTCTGAGGCCTGTGCCAGGCTGATGGGAGACTCCTGGCCAGGACCAAGGAAGCACAAGTTGGAGGCTGTGTTTGGCCCCTGACCGTGGCACAAGTCGATTCCTGACTAGAACTCAGGTCTGAAATCTGATGAGTCTTGATCTGTATTGTCCAGCACTATCGTCTAGCACTGTGACTGTTTTTTCCCAGAATATATTTTATTTATTTATTTATTTTTTAATAATATAATAGTTTACTTTTTTTTTTAAAGATTTATTTATTCATACAGAACTGGGGTATAGGCCAGACATGCGGAGGGTGAGAGGATTCACCAGAGACAGAGTGGGAGCAGAACAGGCAGATCGACGAAGTACACTGCTGAGGGGAGCAGTGGGCGGGTCAGGAGAGGTCTGCCACGCCATGTGGTCACCTCCGGGGCAGGCGGGGATGGAACTCATGCCGAAGTGGCTTTAGCTTCTTAGTCCTGTGCTTTAACCTGCTGAGCCACAGGGAGGGCCATAATAGTTTACTTTTACATCATTTTGTGAGCACTGTGACTGTTTTAAGTTTAAATTAGTTAAAAGTAGAACTATGGAAACCCAGTTCTTCTGCCACACTGCCATATTCAAGAACCCAGTGATCACCTGGTGCTGCTAGCCACCAAGGACAGCCAGTATAGAACACGTCTGTCGCTCCAGAAAGTTCTGCTGGGCAGCGCTGCTCTGGGCCGTTGTGTTAGATTCCCAGTCCCAGAGGACCATCTGCGGCTCTTCAGAGAATTGCCTCTGTCTTCCAACAGCCCGAATAGGTGCTCTTCTTTATTCAATCAGTGTGCAGCTACGGACGCCCTGAACTGTTTGATCAGGAGTTAAGGCCACTCACCCCGCTGTGTGTGGGGCAGTGCTGAGGGCTTGGCTCCCACATGCAGGATGTCGCTGTCAGGTGTGTCCCAACATCTGGAAAGGTGATGGGAACCTAGTTACAGTGGTTGTGCTGCCAGTAGTTACGAGCTAACATGTCTGCATTGTGAACTAAGGCCCACCCCTATTAGCAAAAAGTTGTCTGAGGGTATTGGCCTGTTTGTCCCTGGGGTGCCTGGGGGGAAATTCATGCCCCTGGGGGATTTGGAAGTGACCGAACATGTCTCTTGCATGTGTCCTGCAGGTGGGCAGCCGCAGGGTGATCCAGTACGGAGCAGCCCTCATGCTCGGGCTGGGCATGATCGGGAAGTTCAGCGCCCTCTTCGCCTCCCTCCCGGACCCTGTGCTGGGTGCCCTCTTCTGCACTCTCTTTGGTAAAGTTCCATTTCCTTACCGGCAGTTTCCCACTTAAGCGCTTGCTTTCTTCACATTTATTAAGTGCTCCCTCCAGCAAGATTAAAGATACAAAAGGAATTTCTATTTTAAAATGCAAAAGTATGTACCTTCAAAACATAACCTACCTGTGACTTAAATTTGTGTTAAAGGTAGAAGTAATTAAGGTAGGATAATTGATGAAATGTAATTGGTTTTTCTGACCCATTTAATGCAGTGATCCTCCCCTGTGAACGGGCTGTTCAGAACCGCCTTTTCGGGGTGAGACCCGGTTTCACCTCTGTGCCATACAGTTGTAGTAATCGGAGACCAGATATTTGGGATGGGTTTCCCAATTTAATCAAAATGTTTACACTGAAGTTTTAGGGGTGGGGGTGGACAGTGACCTCCTAGCTTTCTGTTTGGCCTAAAGAAACGACGATGTTTATGCCGCCGAATAAGCCAAAGAGCGCTTGGGCTGAGGGCCGTGTGTACAGAGGCCCAGGTGGTGACCTCCTGACCCCCGCCTGTCTCCTCACTGGCCTCCTGACTTGTTTCTGATGCTCTGAAGAAGGCCATGGTTGGGCCTGCCCCACGCTCCATGTCCCTGTCCTCTGGGCAGCGGGCAGGCCGGCGGCCACCCTTTGACCCTCTTCTCTCTCCAGGGATGATCACAGCTGTTGGACTCTCTAACCTGCAGTTCATCGACTTGAATTCTTCCCGGAACCTCTTTGTGCTTGGATTTTCAATCTTCTTTGGGCTTGTCCTTCCAAGTTACCTCAGGCAGAACCCTCTCGTCACAGGTAGGGAATACACTCCTTGAATATTGGGGAATGTAGAAACCACAGGTCACAAATAGCTCATGGGTAGTGGGGAAGCTTTGAGCCTCAAGGAATTGTTCTGGGCAACATTTTTCTATGGATTTTACTCACTAGGCCTGAGTTTATGGGGACGTCCTTGCTCGTCCCACGTGAGCCAGTGTGTGCAGGAACAAGGAGAATGCCTTTGTAAAATCTTTTGATTTCTCAGACTAATGCTACATTAAAATGTATAATTTCTTGGAACTCAACTTCATAGACTTTGAAATACATGTTTTCAACTGGGTTATAGCTACTTTGAATGAAAGGTTATGCTTTTAATCCCTTTTTGTATTCATGCCCCAACATAATTTAGAACAAAGGGGAACCATCTAAAATAACTTAATAGCTGACATTTTATGCAGAATTCACATACCATAAGAGCAACCCTTTTTTTTTTTTTTTTTTTAATTTTAATAGTGTCTTTATTTGTATGTATTTTACCTCAGGTGTAGTCCCCATAGAATTTGCACTACCAGTTCACCCATGCACCATCACCTGAGTCTCTTGTGCTATTTTTCAGTGAACATTTCAATGACATTTTAGTACATTTACAATCTGTGTGACTATCTAGTTCCCAGAATAGTATCACCATCATCATCCCCAAACAGACTCCATAAGCACTAAGCAGTTAATACCCATAACTCCCTTTCTTCCAGTCCCTGGCCATCATCTATTTCTGTGGATTTATCTGGATGTTTCATATAAGTAAAAGCAGGCAATATGTGATTTTAGTATGTAGCTTCTTTCACTTGGCATGTTTTTGAGTTTTATTCATGTTCTAATATATAGTTCCTCCCTTTTATGGCTCAGTAATATTCCACTATATGGATGTACTATAATCCATCCACTTTACATTAATGGATATCAGTTTCTACCTTTTGGTGATGGTGATATATGCTGTTTTGAACGTTGGTGGACAAGTGCAGTCAATCCTCATTCATGAAGTCATGTTCTGTAAAATCACCATGAACCTAGATTTACACATGCTGAAGGATTGCGCCTACAGCTACCACCGACAGCACTGTAGGTCGTGCCTAAGTGAAGCTCACCTACCACTTTATTTTCTCCATAAGACACACCATGGCCTCTTTGTAGTTAGGAACACCAGCTAGCACTTCAGCACGAAAGTTTTATCTATTTATAGAGTTGGGGACCATTTTAAATAGTGAAATCACAATGAAAAAGCACAGAAATGCAAAGTGGTACTATGGGTGCTAAAGGCTCTTATTTTCAGTGTGGGAGCTAAGCGAAGGCAGGCTGTCATTTTGTTTGACCTCAGCTGGGAACACGTGTGTTGGGCCACTCGGGTTTTTGGCTGCTCTTTGCACACTCCTGAGTGACTGTAGAAGCCCACAAGTATTCATCTTGCGTCTGCAAATACATTTTAGTACGTAGGTGAATTCACAAATGAAGGATCTGCCAAGAGCAGGGATCAAGTATTTGCTGGAGTCCTTGACTTCAGCCCCAAGGGCCTGTCCCTTCACTTTCTGAAGACCTATCAGTGTGGACTCCGGAGCTGGTGAGGAGCAGTTTGTGTTCCCACCAGCCGTCACGAGGGTTTCTGTTTTCCGCATTCTAACAACACTCGTTATTTTCTATTGGGAATCTTTGTAGATTTTAAATATAGAAAATATATGAACTTTAACAACAAGGAGATGCTTGCTGCTTTTTACACTTTTATGAATTCATATGGGGACATTTTTCTAAATCCCATTGTGCTAATTCAAAGTAGATGAGCACTAGTTTGTAACCAGGATTGTGAAATTTTTTTATTTGTGCAGATACCACAAATATTTTTGTGGTCTTACTCATTTTAAAAATTTTTACAGTCTTACAATAGACATCTATTATACTGTCCTGTTTATATTGTTTAAATCAGCTACTCCCTGAGCATCTTGATGGTTTATTACAGGGCAAACGGAACTCCATTAGATTTCCCTTCTCTGCCCCATTATCAGCAATTTTCCACGTAGAGCTGCCTTTCGACTGTTGTTGGAAGTATTCATTGGTGTTTGAAGCATTACTGGCAGAGATCTGTTTGCACCTGCACAATAAAATACACACACTCATGCACTGGGTTTAGTGGTAATGAGAGATCACCCCAAGGCTCTTCGGTGGGCTGTCCTAGCTGTGGGGGTGACCCTGTCACTCTGTTCTGTTTCTAGGAATAACTGGAATCGACCAAGTGTTGAATGTTCTTCTCACCACTGCTATGTTCGTAGGGGGCTGTGTGGCTTTTGTTCTGGACAACACTATCCCAGGTACGTGGTGTGCCTCAGGCAGTCTTAGCCCGCATCTGAGTTACTGTTTGGCTGAATGAGTATGGGAAGCAGGCGGAGGGAAGCATTTGAGGAGCCATCGTGGAGTAAAATGGCCTTTTCTAGTAGTGAGGGAGCTCCCAGTCTCTGTTTATGAGTTAGTTTTCTGCTAGTGAGTGCATCTTGAACTACATAAGTCTCCCTTATTCACAAAGGATACATGCCAGGGTCCCCCGTGGATGCTGCAAACTCTCTAGATCTGTAGACACTATTTTTTCAGGTATGTGCATGCATGTACCTAACTAAACTTTAACTTATAAATTAAGGACAGTAAGATATTAACAATAATAACGAATACTAAAATAGACATTTATAACCATAACGTGCAATAAAGCTTCATGTGAATGTGAATGTGGCCTCTGAATAACAGTGTTTCTAATATTTTTGGACTATAGTTGACTGTATGTAACTGAAACCACACAAAGCAAAACCATTGACGGGGGAGGGGTGGGGGTGAGGGCAGGGTAGGGTGACTACTGTACTTTTAGAGAAGGCAGGTGCATTTTTTTTTTAAGTTTTTATTTATTTATTTATTCATACAGAACCTGGGGTACAGGCTAGAGGTGCAGGGTCGGTGAGAGGCTTCACCAGAGACAGAGTGGGGAGCAGAAAAGGCCGACTGATGAAGTACACTTGCAGAGGGGAGCAGCGGGTGGGTCAGGAGAGGTCTGCCAAGCCATGTGGTCACCTCCGGGGTGGGTGGGGATCGAACTCATGCGGAAGTGGCTTTAGTGCAGTGCTTTAACCCGCTGCACCACAAGGTGGCCGACAGGTGCATTCTTGCCTGCTGTGAAAGAGCAGTGGGCCGGCCTCCAGGCCACATTCCAGGCTGCCTAATCTCCCTGCATAGCTGTACTTAATGCCCTGCAGATCGGTTTTCATTGACTTGTTCACACAGTCCTGAGCCAACAGCAGTGGCCTCCGGCACTTCTCTCCTTGGGGATTCTCTCATTTTAAATGAGTCTCCAGCCAGATAATGCCACAAGGACCCCAAGTGTGGTAGGGGGAGGCTGCTACCAGAATCAGTGACACAGGGAGCAGGTGCCTCGTGTGCTAAGTGCCGGGTGACGGGCTGTGTGGTGATAGGAGCCCTGGGTTGTGGCCTTCCCAGCCTCCTCTGGTGTCAGTGTATGATGCTGCCGCATCTGCTGGTCACGGAAGGGAGATGCTTACCCCTTGCTTTGAAGGCTTTGTTGAGATTTCCCTCTTAAAAACAACCACTTCCCAAAAGCAGCGTTCAAGAAGAGGTTGCTGGAGAGCCCAGAAATGAATATATCAGGCTGAAGAACTCACACATGTGAATAGGTGGGAGATGTTAGCGACTGGCCTTTCTGTCTAAACCTAACATCCCATTTCTCTCCTGAGTCAAGTAGAGACACAGTGAGATGGGTGGGAATTGAAGCCAGTGTGATTGCTGAGCTGCCCGTGGAGGGCATAGCTTAGGCGCAAGGAAGCGATGCGCTCCCTGCTCGAGCTGCACATAGCTCGCTCGTCATCCAGGCTCTGGGAGTAAACTGGCAGCCCAGGGCCAAGAGCGAGTGCCAAAGCATCTCTGCACCAGGAAGCTTTGTGTACAGGAGTCTCGGGGTAACACTGAGGGTCCTGTGGGCCCACGTCTTTTCCCTGGGACTCCTCTGTCAGGATGCAAATTTGCCAGGTGTGTGACTAGTGGAAACTCCTCAAGAGTACAAGTGGGGACATGTGACATGCACACAGCACCCCTTTGTCCCCCACCCCAACCCCACCCCCCCGTGCACGCATGCGCGCACACACACACACAAGTGGAGCACTAGTGCTTGTATGCCAGAGGGCATCATGCAGTGACCAGGCCCTGTATGGTGCCATGAGACTCTGAGCCTTTTCCAAAATCAGACTTGGTTTTTAGAGAGCAGTTTTAGAAGGGATTCGCCCGGGGGGTGGGGCGTGTTAGGGATTCTCGATTTCTGGCTTGGGCATCTCATGTGTTTTTGGGTGGCAGTCTGTGTGATCTGACTTCTTGGAAGGACGGTTAATCACAGCGCCCCTTTGTTTTGTGGTGTGCGCTCCACAGGTACCCCGGAAGAACGAGGAATCAGGAAATGGAAGAAGGGTGTGAGCAAAGGGAGCAAATCCCTCGATGGCATGGAATCCTATGACTTGCCGTTCGGCATGAACATTATTAAAAAATACAAATGCTTCAGCTACTTACCCATCAGCCCAACCTTTGTGGGCTACAGGTGGAAAAGCCTCGGGAAGAGTCCCAACAGCCGGAGCTCGGAGGAAGACTCGCAGGCCACGGTATAGCCGGAGCGGCCACGAATCTGTAGGTCCTTGCTGAGTAACACAGTAACATAGGTGTGTGTATATCTGCATTTACATCCTGCACCCCAGAGCTAAGACAGGTTCCAAATAGCTTTTCTGTTGTGGGTGGTGATCGTGTCTGACGGTGTCTCTCCTGTCTCCTTATTTAAGCCCTTCCCCTTGAGAGCGTCCACTGCTGGCTATGGTCACCGAACCTGAAATGTTTGTCCTCCTGTGGGAGTGGATGTTTGAATCCACAGTGACTCCTTGTGTCCAGTCCCCTCACGCCACCCCGTGCTTACTTTAGTACAAGTCACCTCCAGACCCAGGGCCTTCTGTCCCTGCTGCTTTTTTGGTTTGACTTCACACTGCACCCACAGAGCCCTCCTGGTCAGGGGGCATCAGTATATCCTCGCGTGGTCACGCCTGACTGGTCAGATGTGATTCTGCGTCCCCACTGGGCCCGGAGGAGGAGGCTGTTGGCCTGACCAAGGGCAGTACCATGGTTGCCTGGTGAGGTCTGTGCGTGGGGAGGGCTCAGGACAGATCTGGCCAGAGTGGAGATCATGGGCTGGGAGGGGGAGGGCGCGTCCCGCGGAGTCAGCAGCTGCTTCTCCGTTGCCCTTCCTCAGCGCCTCTCTGGTGTACTGACCTCTGCGTCACTGGTTGCTGAGGCACGATCTGGCAGTTGCCACACCTGGCTGGCGTGGTGGGTGCAGAGTGCCACGCAACGGCACTCAGCAATATTTCTGGGAGTCTTGCTCTGCTGTCATGTGGATGTCAGTTATTGTCACGTGTGTCTATAATTGCAAGATTTTACTCCTATTTAATATTATTGACTAGAGCAGATTTTTGAAGTCAGTGTTTTTCCATGTGACCCCCTTACCACCCCACTATGTGTCCCTCACCCCCTGTCCTCCATTAAGGAAAGAACCAGCATTTGTAAGCTGTGGACACCATCAGGGAAGTGTGTTATAATGGCTTTTGAAGGCCAGTGGCCATTATTGTGATTGTGTTTTTGTATTGCTTGATACCACGAAAGTGTAAATACTGTAATGCCTAATCTATTTATCAAAACTGACTACTTTACCAGAGCCCAGCAACTATGGGTTAAGTTCTACGTGAATTTGTTTTGTGAAGAAGGGGAGTCGGGGCAGGGATCCACCAGAGCTGTCCTATTGCACGGTCGAGCCCTTGAATTCATCACTGCCGTTCTTTTGTCATTTCTGGTAGTTAAGGCTCAAGGAGTCTTTCTGCATGGCCCCTGGTTCTTGATTTGCAGAAGAGAGCATTAGATTCCCTGGCCAAATGCTGCCTTTTGAAGTTGCTGCAGACAGTGGTTAAAAAAGAAAGAAAAAAAAAAGCATCCAGCATGCCCCTCTGAATTCTAATGAATAACACTAAATGCTTTTTGAAAAACGTAACCTCTGCTGAATATGGCTTGAAGTTTTTCAGGCCAAGGAAAAGCCCTGCGCTCTAATAAGGCAGTGGCCTACGCTCACGCCAGAGAGTGTGCTCTGAAGGGCCGTGGGCCTGCGTGGTCCCAGGTGGCCGTGAGTGTTCCGGTCACCTGTGTCTACACTGAGCATTTCCTCACCCTGCAGCTGGCTTTGCTTTACCACATTCAGATGACTTTGGTAGCCTCACTGTGTCACTACAGCGCCCTTGACTCCTGGAAAGTAAACCTCAAGGCTTATTCTGGCAAGAACTCTCAACAGCCACTGCATTATTTTGCCAAGATCTTACTGCAGGCTGAGTAATGAGCTTAGACCTAGATTACAGTTAAGTGTGTATGTTACCTTTTGGGGGAAGTGTGTTTGAAGCATCGGTACACTAGAAGCACTCTGGTGGGTGGTTTTCATCCTCTTCTCTGGTCAGGCCTACACCCAGCTGCTCTCGGCCTGTTCTATTCGTATTTGCTCTCAGCGTCTCCAATTTCAGTATTGAGAAAGTGGGGAAAACTATCAACCATCCCAGAGATTGGAGTATTCTAGTCCTCTAGGTGATCAGAAAGACCAAATCTTCAAGTAAAAGCCTCTGAACCATTGGTAATTCAGAAATCCATTTCCTTCAGCACTGGGAATCCTCCTTCCCACTGGCTAACTCTCAGGTATGTGCTTCAGGAGTCCAGAAACCCTTCTCTTCTGAAATTCATCCTTAGGGTTGTCTTGGGGTTTTCATCCCTGATCTGAGGAATATCTTCTGCAAGCCTTCAAGTGAGGAGAGGCATCCTACACCCACATCTCCTGTTCTCATTCACTGGGGTCAATTTAGATTCTCTGACAAAGAGTGAGAGAGAGGGGAGGGGAAGAAAAAGAGGGTCCTTGCCCAGAGACCCCCACTGAGTCTTGTACTTTCTAACCATCCTGGGAGACACGGCTTTGTGTGATGACTGGTGTCCCGTGTGATTCCTGAACCCCACGTGCAGCACACCAGCCCTTAGGGAACGGGCCCACGAGCTAGTGAGCCAGGGAGGAGCCTCGCAGGGAGAAAAGAAGCCTGGAGTCATCTCCTTCTCGAGCCTGAGCTCACACCTGAAGGGGTGCTTTGGGGGAGTCGGTGGCCTTGCACGTCCCTTCTGTGTTGTGGGCCCGCATGGCCAAGGCCACGTTCCTGCCACACGCTTTATTTGGCTGACAGACAGACAGAATTTTCCAGTATTTCAATGGAAATCCTCTTGGGCAAGGCAGGCAGTCTACAGTTTTACAGTGACCGCCCATCTCCCCATTTATGTTAGGGTTCCTGATGTGGAATTAAAGAGTATTGGTGTGGATAGTAAATGCTGCCTGTATCCCAGCAGTGAGCTGGGCAAGGCAGACCCCACCGCCATTTTGAATAAAATACTAGTCTCAATGGTTCACCACATAATGGGGGAGGACTCCAGTCTCTGGCAACAATCTTCGTTCTCATTCTCCACTAGGTAATGAAACTTAGATCCATTGACACCGAATCTTAAGCGCCTTTCAGATGTTAACTGTTAGTACGTCTCTTAGGGCTGATCAAGGTGAAGAAGTGGCTCAGACAGGCAGCTAGAAGGCAGCGTCATGGCTCTGATGGTTTCCTATTTTCATGGTGACAAATTCACACACAGGATTTGCTTTATACTGTAGAACACTGACTTTCATGATGACAACCTGGTTTATGCATGAATATTGCAGTATTTCCATATAGTAAAATAACATTTCTACCCAGGATAATAGTCACAGTTTTCCAGGGAGGGAATGATATAATTTTCATGACAATGTCATGTGATGATAGAATTTCTCCATTGATGAATCGCTAGTATGTGTGTATACTTTATTTACCCAGGAGTTTATTTTATGACCATGAGCTAAGTTGTGATTTCCTGAATTCACGTCCCTACTGAAATATCGTATTAGCAATTTAGACTTGAAGTTGGCAACTAGAATCTACAATATCGCTGCCACAGGAGTGGCCAGGCCAGATAGGAGGGAAATAGGAGCTGTGGCCGAAGGCTTGTTAAGGCACATGGAGAGGCAACATCCCGCAGGCTGCTGTGCTGGGGGTGGACCCGCAGCCATGGGCACCAGGCCCAGCAGGGCTGACCCCGGACACCTGGCTGGATGCCAGTCCCTGCCCCTGGACGCAGTGCTTCTGGCTGCCCTGCTTCTCCAGGGAATTGCCCTTGGCTTTAGCGAAGAGCCTGGGCTTTCACACGCTGCCCCTCGAGCACTGTCCCCTCTTGATGTGGACACAGAGAGCAGGAGCCCTCCCCCGCCGCCCCTCCTGCAGACACAACTGGAATGGTGCAAGAAGACCCTGTTTTTGCCAGCGTTCAGCTTCCACGCATGACCCTGTAAAGCCCGCTAGCGTTTGGGGATCCCTTTCCAGCCGTCTCCCTCACATCTGCCCCATTAGGTGGTTCTGAACTGTGCCGAGTCTTCACTCTCCATTACTGACACCCAGCGCCCTTAGGATTGCGAGTGTTTCCAGGCACTTAGACGCCCTTGCCAGTGTTGCCATCTTCCCGACAGTTCTTCGAGTTAAGCCCTTTTCTGTTCATTTGTAACAACCTTTGTTTAACACAATCAATTTCTGACTGTTCTTAAAACAGTGGGGATGCATTTCTTTTCCTTGAGTTTTTGTGACTGACTTTGGCTATATACTCTTCTGGAATTTTGTTTGTTTTTTATTTTTATTTTGCATACTGAGGGTATCTGGGGTGGGGTTGTTTTTTGAGATGTGTAATTCTTTTATGGAGTTTTTAAAAAGAATTTTCATATTGTTTTTCTAACATGGCTTCATTAAACGTTTAAGTATTTTAAAAATATGTAATATTTGGACCAGATGTTGTGAATAATAGTAGAGATAAAGCTATTTTATTCTGTATTTTTAAAACTGTTCCGTACAAATAAAAGCTCTCCTGGACGCAGCCCGCTGTTCACCTGCCTCTTTCTTTGGTCTGTAGGAAACCCCACATCGATTAAAAGCCCCTACTCAAGGGAGAGAAGTAGACTCATTGAAATTCAAGTGCATGGATGTTTCTGTTGTCAGGTACCAAGAAGAAAAGTATTTGAGGGAAGCAGAGTGCTAGTGTCCTGCTCTCACCCTAGGGGACAAGCGAATTTGAGGTTTATCCTTTCCTTGCATTTTTCCACAAATTTGCTCTACCTATGCGTCACTGCACAATTTGCTGCTTAGTTTTCGATTTGGCATGTTTTGAAACATACACATATAAAAGGAATGACCATGAATGGCCCTATTGCAATTCACAAGATTCTTTCCTGTTGATATGCATCCACGGTGTAACTCATGTTCGCTGCTGTGTGGGATACTTTTAAGATTAAAAAGACAGTGTTGGGCCCTCCCTGATGGCACAGTAGATTAGGACGCAGCACTGCAAGCTGGCCACAGCCACCTCAGTGCGAGTTCGATCCCTGCCCTGGAGGTGACCCACATGGTGCAGCAGACCTCTCCTGGCCCGCCCGCTGCTCCCCTCAGCAGTGTACTTGCATCATCTGCCTGCTCTGCTCCCCCACTTTGCTCTGGTGAATCTCCTCACTGTCCCTGCACCTCTGGCCTGTACCGCAGTTCTGTATGCATAAATAAATCTTT